CTTGGTAGGTGTGGGTTTCGTATTTTGGCTCAAATTTTGGGAATTTTAGTTATTTGGCGCTTCATATGATATCCTGAGTTACCATACCTTCTACCCTCGAAGGTTACGGTATATCCTTTCAAATTAATCAGTTTCAGCTATCGATGTGCTGTTCTGAATCACCTGGGTGCACTTCATGATGTTAAACTCACAGGAAGCAGAATCTTCACGTACGGTAAGTAGTTTCGAGGCAAGCTGGTGGTTACAGCGGTAGAACTATCCGGCTAAAACTCGTACCCGCATCAACCGTGTTTTTAGGCGGTACGGACGAGTTACATGCCATGATGAACCAGCTATTCAGTGATTATCCACGTTCGCATTTTATCAGTATTGGCTTCTCAATGGGTGCCAATATAACTGCTCGCTTCCTCACGCAGGTCTCAGAAGAACAAAGGTACCGTGTTATTCATTTTTGAGCAATTGGTGAGAGTCTTCTCTGAAGTGGCATATAATGGGGGTATCGGCATGAGCTTCCGCTCCCCACCTCGCCTCTGTATGTGTCAGGAGTTGCCATCACGATCGTGTCGTTGACACCAAGTCGCAGCTCGTCGGCTAATCGTGTCAGCGCCCTTCACCTTCTGCAAGTAGGGTATACAGGGCTTTGAAGCAACCGGCTGAATTTGCCGCCGCTGGCGACCCAGTTCCGGAGGAAGGATGAGGCATTATGACCCATACTGTTTTTACAGAATTGAAGATCGTTATATTCCCAATTCTGTGTAACACTTTCGATTAAATGGGCTGTTCAGAAGTGGAACTCGAAACAACTTGAAGGTTGCAAAATTCCCTTGCGTCCTCTTCAATGTCGATTCATTTCAGGAGCCGCATTTTGCTGGGCTTGAGTGTATGTCAGGGATATTCGGCAACCACATCCGCGCCGATGTATCACGATTGGGAAAATGGACGACGCATCTATAACTATTTTATTACTGAGAACATGAAACGTCTTCTACGACGTAACTATGAGCAAGCGGTTGCACCTCATGTTGCCAGTGGACTGATTGATGAGCAGGTACGTGAGTCGGTGTTAAAAGTTGCTTAGAAGTAGATGCTTGCAAACCAGTTTTGTCATTTCGTCCCCTATTTCCCTCTACTGCTAAGAATTACAATAAAGTTACAACTGTTGGAATGTGAAGAACCCATAGCCCACTTGTGATAATCCCATTTTGCTCCCAGTCAAAGGCGTATTCCTCTATAGCCCTGGGTTTCATTCCAACATGACAGCGTACGGGCTGCGGGATCCGCGAATAGAAGTGTAGGCACTGAATGGACGTTAGGTAGGAATGAAAAAAAAAATGTCGAAACCCGCAGCATAATAGCCTTGTTTACTAGACACCAGACATTATTCTCAGGGGGGCATGCCACTCGGCGAGACACCTAACTATCAATGAGACAACTATTAACGATCGTAGTCTGCTTGAATCAACTATAACCATGTGCATTCTACTCTATGTAGTTGTGGTTCTCGACCATCTGTGCTGTAGTGTAGTTAGTCAATTTACTTAGGGGCGGGGCAACCTGTGAAGGCGTTCGTGCCGGACTTTGTGTCCTAATCACGCCCTTTCTAGGCAGCATTTCACAGCGACAACGGCATGTGTCATCGTCTTCTTCAGCATTCGAGCACCTTTTCGGTGGCTTTTCAAAGCCAGATTATTTTTGAAGGTGTCGTTTAAAGCTCCCCATATTTCAGCGTCTCTGGTCAGCCACATCCATTGTGGCGTTTGACGAAAACTATAACCGTCGAGTGGCTGGTTTCCAAAATCTCGAGTCATTCTACGCATGGTGTGATTCGTTACCACTTCTCTCTAAGCTGCGAGTACCGATGATATTTTTGAACGCCGAAGATGATCCCATCGTTCCGCAATGTCTCTGGGAACCAGTTAAGGTACAGTTGGATTTTTTACGTAACTTCCTTGACTATTTCCTTGAAAATGATTAAGTTAGGTAGTTTGTTTGTGGTAATTGCCCCGAAACTACTGCCGCGGCATGCCTGCGATCGAGGGAATTCGGGTTTCCGTTCAGTTGTACAGCTATGACCTCAGAGCTTGCGCGCGTGAAATCAATACCCATTTTATGAAATGAAATATCGAAGACTATTTTAGGAACTCGCTTCCCATTCCGAAGACATGGCATTTATTTCGACCCGACATGGCGGTCATTTGGGCTTCCTTGAGGGTAGCTCATTTGCACCGCATTCAGTCACATGGCTCGATCGGTTCATTGTGGTTATGGCTGATCAGGCCGTCAAGGCTTACGCTTAATTCTGTTGGCTTTTTCCGAGTTCTTCTAGTCAATTCCCGATTTCTAAAGTATTATTATTGTTTACTCTTTAATCAGTATTACTAC